AAACCTACCATAAAAATTACAGACCCTTCATTTCTTTGTAAGTGGGCAAACTTACAAAATCAGCAGGGGATCAAATAACTATTTTCCCCACTGTAAATAGACTCATTTATAACATTAAATAAAACATTTTGTCAGAACCTCAAGTTGTCACGGTTGCACTACTGAGTGGAGTGCGGAACAAGGAACGGCGGGAGACGTGGAGTACATCAATCCAGAGACTTTTAATAACTTAAAGGAACCACGGAAAACTCACGTAGAACATGTAGGACGCTGAACTAAAAACAGGGAACACTATTTAAACACATGACAAATCAATAGACACAAAATGGGGAACACCTGGAATCAAATAAATTTAATCAGGACAGGAACAGGAAACTAACCAAATATGGGCATAAATACTGGGACACAGGGAGCACATGGGGAACAAAACACAACACAAGCCTGAAACAAGTAAATTAGCCTACATATTATTTTGTTTGGTTGTCTAATGTTTTATTTTCAGAATTTTGGGCAAACCGTGATCTCTATTCTTAAAATCAATTATCCAGAGTCATTGCATAAAAAAATTATAATATATCTGGCATCTAACTATTTCTATTAGTAATGTTTCTAATATTAAAATGTACAGGCTAGGATGTAAAATGTACAATCTGGCCCCCCTTTCTTTCTTTTGGTCCGTTCTTTTTATCCATGTGTTAACCCTAAAGCAGGGTCCAAAATAGACTGTCTTTGAGTAAGTTGAATTATTTCACCCCTAAATAATGAAAATTCTGTCATTATTTACCCACCCTCATTTAGTTTCTTACCCGTATTACTTTCTTTTTTATCATTATTAATTTTCTTTTTTAAATTCGCTTTTTAAATCCGGTAAAGTGAATGATGGGGCTGATTGGGGGATAAAAGCACCATGTAACTGTCTTAAAGTGGGTCATGTGAATTTTTCAAGTCATACAGGTTTGGAATGGCACACCAAAGAGTAAATAAGTATTAGAGCAAAAGTTTTCATTTTTGGGTGAACTATACTTTTAACTCTGACATAAACAACACGAACAAATAAATATATGCACATTTTTACAGATATGAAATCATGTATGTATGTACATAGGGATGATCTACTGAAGCAAACATTAGGCGGCTTAAACTTGATGTTATAAGAGACACAATTAACTATACTGTTAGCCACCAATATACAAGCAAACCCAACAACATAATTCCATTCCAAAAATGTACCATTAATAAATCAAAATTCAATTTTTATGATCTGTACGAAATATTTATGCCCGGTACATTTTCTCAATTCACCCACCATTGGTAAAGCTATTTTTAGACTCTCCCCTAAAGGACACTGATGAAGTGTCTTGAACTCACAGAGAGGTGTGGGTGAATTTGGAGATTTCAGAATTGGTGCATTTCTTCTTCATGTTTGATGATGGTCTGATCTCTATTTCTGTATCTCTATCTGTGGCCCAAGTGAGATTAATCGTCTGGACCTGGGTCTGGTTGTGGAGGTGTGGAATAAAGGGCTCATCTGGGACACCTTGATAGGAACAGCATGGATCCCACTTAACACCATACGCCAATCAGATGAGGTTAGTGGTCACCACCAGCCAATCGGAATGAAGAGAATACGCCCTCAACAGTCACACATCTCAGCTGTCTATCTGGTGAGGCATGAAAGTGCCACTCCCATCTTGTTTCACACAAGAAGTTAAGACCATCTGAGTCATGCCCGGAGCTGAGGTGGGTGGGGAATGCAGTGCAAACGGTGAGAATGATGAAAACAATGCCTGAATTGCTTCCAACTGGACAGTTCTGGAATAACCCCAGGGTATCAGTCAAAGGCAGTCAATTAAAGGAATAATTCATCCCAAAATTAAAATGTGCTGAAAATTTACCCTTAGGCCATCCAAGATGTTGAAGAGTTTGTTTCTTCAACAGATTTGGAGAAATTCAGCATTACATCACTTGACAATAGATCCTCTGCAGTAAATGGGTGCCGTCAGAATGAGAGTCCAAACAGCTTATAAAAACATCACAATAATCCACAAGTAACCCACATGACTCCAGTCCATCAATTAATATCTTAAGCAAAAAGCTTCATTAAGATATTTATAACTTCAAGCCGTTGCTTCTGGCTAAAATATATTATATAATATAATATTGCTATAATATTGCTTTCTTCATTAAAAAAGTTGTATCATCTGAATCAAGAAAGAAAAATGCACAGATCAAGAACTCTTTACAAATGAAAGCAGTTCAAAACACTTCTAAAATCTGTTTTTGGATTCTGTCTGGATTTTGATGTGAGAGGACAAGGGATAGATGTTTTCACTTGAGAAAGCGTTATTATGGGTAATGGACTGGCATTCAGCCTAGAGCCGTGTTGGTGGCCACTCACATTTTCTGCTGAAAATATAAAAATGTAGTTTAATTAGTTAATGTGGCCCTCATGAATTTATAAATGGAAAATGCACATACTCTTGTGAAACAAATAAAGTCAAAGTCTCTCTGGCATGGAGTCTTACAGGTCTCTCTCTCTCTCTTTCTTTAGGAGGGGCCTGGAGAATGGACCTCACTGGATTCTGAGGTTCTGATGAAGGAAGATGAGATATATGGCACTAAAAACCCCACTCCTCACCAAGTGCTGCTGGACACACGCTTTGAGCTCCCTTTCGGTAGTCCACATACTGTATAATAGAATAGAATTTAGTAGAATAGAATATTCCTTATTTTATTTTATTTTTAGATTGACCTTTTCTCAAACCTCTTAGAACAGATTCTAAGCAGTTCCTTTAACTGCCATATATACAGTGGCCACAAAAAGAAATTCATACATTTTGAAGTGACTTAAGTGTTCAAGTACTTTTTAGGGCCACTGTATGATATAAAAAATCTAAATGAATTGGGAGAAGTAAGGAGACGTAAATGGAGAACATCTCAGGGAAAAAAAGAGTGGAAGCAAAGTGTGCTGATGTATTTGTGATGTTCCTGCAGTAACCTCTGTGTCTCATGCCATATTAAACACTGTGAATACAGAATTGAGTGCTGTGTGGCCAGTAAACTGGAAGGGAGGAGTGAGAGGTGCATTGGAACAGTGGAAGCTGGAGTTTTATCTAAAGATATCAGACTTTCTTTTCTGCTTATTTCTGTATTATTTGTTTGCGTTTGCAGATATCCCTGACGACGAGGCCCAGTACTGGACTAAAAAGCTGGAGCGCATCAACTCTATGAGGATACATGATGAGGTACAGACTGTGTGTGTTTAGATGGAGTAGAGATGTTAGAATATGTACAGTAGAAGTAACATGTTAGTTTGATGGACCTGGGCAAGAGTTACCATTATTCAGATTCAATGAGTGAATTTTATATTTGAGATATGATTTTTTTTTTCATATCCAACAAATGGAAATCTGGATAGGTTTTTTTAATTCATTTTCAGCTGTTGCCTGAAACTCAGAACCTTTTCTTAAATATATAAAAAGATACCTCATAAACTTCAGATTTGTATTTTCATGCATAGTGATTTTGGTTGTGTTGAATTTGTATATTGTATCAGGTATTTGGTATTTTGATCTCAGCAGCATTGCATTGGTACACCAAAAAAATTATGGAATTCTGTAGTTTTGTTAAAAGAATGATCTTTTACTGCCTCCTGCTGTGAGCACTGAGCACTGCAAGGGCCTTACAGTTCTACTGTCAAAAGACCACTAAGATGTGCTGTATAACCAATGGAGGGGAAGATTAGAGCACATGAACATCACATCTGATTAGTTATAAATGATTCCTAGCAGACATGGTTTATTGTTGTCTTAGCCAGTGTAAAACAAGTTTAAGTAAGCCTCTATCTTAGGCTTTTTGATTCACCTCGTTTATGAAAACAGACACAGGTAAGCTGATGTTAGCTGAAATACTTTGTGTATTATCATGACTTTTAACCATTTTGTTAATTTCCCATCAATTTTTAATAGTACTCACTGCAAGATGAAGCACAGAGAAGACAGCTGCCCTCAGTGCCCTCGCAGTGCTGTAAGTATTCTCTTTTCAGCTTTTACTGAGGGGAAAAAAAAGAAATGACATGACGAGTCCTCTTCAAGCCAGTAGATGGCAGTAGTTTATAGCTGTTGTGATGCATTTAACCCTGATGATTATGGCAATCAGAATTTTATGTTCTGTTTGTTGCATTAAAATTGCAAGTGTCAAGATTTACTTTTGCTTAAAAGGATAGTACACTTAACAAATGAGGATTCTGTTATCATTTACCTTCATGTTAACTTAAACCTTTATTACTTTATTTTTTTACTTGGAACATAAAATATGATGTTAAGCAGAATGACACTGTGATAGTCAATATTTACTTTCATTATAATGCAATGGAGTAGAAGTGAATACTATGACATCTCTAACATTCTGTGTAACATTTACTTTCTTGTTCCATGAAAAATAATGTCATACAGATTTGTAACAACATGAATGTGAGTAAATAATTGCTGAATATACATGTTTTGGGTGACCTACCCAACTGTGAAGTAATTTACTCAAGTACTTGATAGCAATTTGTAATAAAAAAAATACAGTAGTAGATTTATGATCTTAAATAATCAAGAAAGCAGAATTGCATGCAAATTCGTTAAACACTCCGTTGGTTATGCAATTATATTTTGCATGAGTAACACTTACAATAAGACTTTATTAGTTAATGTCAATGCATTGACTATCAAATCTCATTGTCAGTGTTAAAGTATTTATGAATCTTTCTTAACATTTGTTAGTACAACTATCCATTCTTAGTTCATGTTAGCTCAGGTCTGCTAAACATTAAGAAATACAAATTGTGGTTTTAATAATGTATTAGTAAATGATGAAATTAAGATTAATAAATGCTTTATACTTTTATTTCATTGTTAGTTCATGTTCACTATGTCAATGTTATCAAATGGAACCTTATTGTAAAGTGTTACATCTATCTTCTGCTGTTTAACTTTCTCCAAACCACTAGGCAATTGGACATACTTTGGATGGAATGATCAGCAGAGTATGTACTTAATGTGTGTTGGAACTAATCATCATTTCACTTCTTTCTTTCTTTCTTTCTTTCTTTCTTTTTCTTTCTTTCTTTCTTTCTGTTACCATTTATTAATTTACAGAGAGAGAAAGAATGAATAATGAATAATTTACATTACACAAATATGCAAACAGATTCTGAGAGTGATTAAGCAAAATATATAATATTTATTAGTAATACACCAGAATCTAAGACATCAAGTTGTCTAATATGCACTACCAGTCAATTGTTTTGAAACACTAGACTGAATTTGTTTGCCATCTTAAAGGGTTAGTTCACCCAAAAATGAAAATTCTGTCATTAATTACTCACCCTCATGTCGTTTCAAACCCGTAAGACCTTCGGATACTTTCCAAAATGGCGCTACAGGGTGATGCGAAGGAGACGAATTGTTGTATTAAGTCATTTTTTTTTTTCTTTTGCACACAAAAAGTATTCTCGTAGCTTTGTATAATTGCGGATGAACCACTGATGTCACATGGATTATTTTACAGATCTCCTTGCTACGTTTCTGGACTTGGGAACATTTCAGTAGCGTTGCTGTCTATGCAGGGTCAGACAGCTCTCAGATTCCATCAAAAATATCTTCATTTGTGTTCCGAAGATGAACGAAGGTCTTACGGGTTTGAAACGACATGAGGGTGAGTAATTAATGACAGAATTTTCATTTTTGGGTGAACTAACTCTTTAAGGGGCGGTCACACTACACTTTTCGCTCCATTGGCATCCATTCATACATGTGCAAATGTAGGAGAGCAGAAACGCAATCTCATGCGAAAAAGTTTTGCATTTCGCTGCATTACAAAGTTCAAGTTTGGTGAACTCTGACCTGCTAATTAATATCACATGAAACTGTGTGACCAACAAAAGATCAAAACATCACAGCATGCCCTCGTAGCTGAATTAAAAGAACAGAAATGTAAAACTGCAGCATTGCAGGAAAGTGGATTAGATTGTATGGTTTTACATTTTAGATTTATTATTATTTGTTATGTGTTGAATTTAAGTTTTTGAAAAGACGCTGCAGAGCTCAACGTCATATCATGACCGTTGCAGTGTCTGAAGAAATTTCGTATGCTCAAAGTCAAGTCTGACCATGGCTTTAAACCTTTCAATAATGCTTATATTCTTAAAATTATTTCTAATTGTGCCATATGGTTTTCGTTGCAAAACTATAATTTTATGACTATTTTATTTATTTTATTTTCATTGGTAATTTTACTATTATTCTAAAATTGAGAAAATAGTAATTTGTCTGCCCAAGCTGATGACTAATAGTGTACATAAAACAAGATGAAGTATTGTGCATTTGCAAACTGAAATTTTCCACTATTCTTCCTCCTTTCCTATTTTGGTTATTCATCATTCCTTCATTATACATATATTTGTACTTCATGCATTTATTTGTTGTGTATGTGATTTGTATTTAGAAATGTTTAATTGACAAATAACATCTACATCACCTTTATTTTTTCCATTTTTTATTTCCTTTTAGATTTTATGCAGTGTTGTGAGAGAACCTTTTACAAGTAAAAATATTTAATATAATTTCTCATTTAATATGAAGCTAAAAATAAATAATAATAAATGTAGTTTAAAATAATGTATGCTGGAATATAGCATATACCACAACTGTCACTGCTCTAGCATGGTCTTTGGAGTCTCTGCATTCATTTAATTTAATTCATTTGAAGTTTTAGGTGAAATTCTCCCTGACCACACTTTAATCATTTCTGGATTATGTTGTGTTGTAGCTTTTGATGACCACGACAGCGCTGGGGATGACCGGGACAGTGATTACCGCAGTGAGACAAACAGCAGGCCTCCACGATACCACACCACAGCTCAACCCAATTCCTCGGTACATCAGTACCCTATTGGCAGAAGATTACAGAATCGGGCATTATCAAAAGAGTCTAGGACAGACTCTATCCAGAGCTATGACTTGGATTATAGAGAAGGAAGGGAACAGAGGTATGTTGATTACACAAACACATGTACAGCTTGGCATACATTGAAATATTCCATTACCCACACATTATCTAAAAATACTTAAAAAAAAAAAAAAAAAAAAAAAGGATTATTATTTACAATATTAAAATTATCGGAAGCAACCGTGAATAAGATACTATTACTTATTTTCAGATAATGTCTTGAATATACTTTTGTCTTTCTTTTAAATTTGTTTTCTTGTTTAAAGTTCGTTAAAAACAAGGGCAGTGTGCAAAAATCTGCCAGTGCAGTAAAACAAAATGCACATATTCAAGATATGATCTATGAATAATATCTAAGAGTTGCTTCTAAACTAAATTTTAAGAATTAAAATCATCAAGAAAGTAATTTTTTTTTACAGTCAGTTTAGCTCCAAAAATTTTCAATTTTACTTTCATACATTTTCATTTTTCTGTCTTTCTTTTTTATCCATCTATATAATTCAATTTAAGATTTTGTTAATTTCTCTTCCTGTTCATTCTTCTCCTCATCCATGCTTCTGGCACTTTCACTTTATGCACACCAGATTTTTAAGTGGTACAGATGATGTCAGAATGATTCCAGTGGACTCAGGTATGGGAGTTGAAGACTGGGAGATCAAATATAAAATTAATGACAACATACTGGATGATTACCTGGAACCAGAGCAGAAAACGTGGGGTGATGATGATGACACCAAGAGTGAAATTTATAGAATCAACTCCAAAGACAGTCGGTTTTACCAGACAGTACATTGTGATGCAATGTCCCCAGAGGAGGCTGAGGAGTATGATGCATCAGGAAATCCCATCAGGAGAGCAGCCACAGGCAGCAGTGAGGTCCGTTTGGTCTATAAGGAAGCTAGAAACTTTGAGGATGAAATTTCCCCTCCTGAAATTTCCATCATTCCTTCAATTTCGCAACTTCGCAAGGCAAACCAAGCATCATATACAGAGGGGCTGTTGTACAAAACCAGGATGTGGGCCAAGAACTCATTTGAAGACACCCTTGAGAACTATACAATTTATTGTGAGGAAGAGGAAGCCAGGATGAGAGCAAGAAGTGAATATGGGTCTGCAGGATCTGATGAAATGCAGTTCTCTCTTGGGTCTGAAGAGGAGCTAGATGATATGGCGTTTGTAGAAGAGGATGCACAGTATGAATATGACAGTTACTACAGTAATGCAAGATATATTTCCTCTTATGATGAATGGTCACAAGGCTATAATGAACAACAGAGCAGCATGGGGAATGATTGCACAAGGGGCCCAGATGAAATATTGTCACCTGTGCAGGAGCCAAATAAGGAGTATCACGATACTATGGATGAACTTCAGAACTTAGTTGACTCTGTGTCAGAATATCTGGCTGGACGAGAGGAGGAAATGAGTAAATATGAATCAATGGAAAAATCTGTCACAAAAACAGAAACAGAGAGTGAAGAAAAGAAAATTGAGGGTAAAGCAGCTGAGATAAAAGAGGAAAAAGCTGTGGAACAAGGTATTGCGGGTGCTAAAAATGCCATGAGCTCTTTGTTTAACTCAATCACAAATACTAAACCAGCAGCTGAAAATACAGAATCAACAGAAACTACAACAAAAACTCCATCTCCAGTTCCTCCACAGTCAGAGTCTGGTATTTCTAAACTGTTCTCTTTCATAACTAAATCAACTGGTAGTCCAACTCCTGTTGCTGTTGTACCACCTGCTAATCAGGAATCTAATGCAGACAAGAAGTTCTCTTTGCAGTCGCTGTTGCCATTTCAGTTCCCAGAGGTCAGTCGACCAGCTAGTGCCACATCAGAGACTGATGCTACAATCATTGCTGATTCAAGTGGCTCTCAATCTCAGGACTCCACTCCAAGTCAGACACAAACAGTGGTCGATTCAGTGCTAGGAAGATTGAGCCCTTTCAGGCTTTTTGGAGACAAATCAAGTGCTCAAACTATTTCACAACCAAATATAACTCAGGGAAATGCAGAGTCTAAAGAAGAATCTATGGAGAAATCCAAAAGTTTGTCTTTAGAGAGGTCTGCCACACAACCTGAGCACCAGTCCTCATGTGGGGGATCAGGATGTGGATCAGTAGAGCTTTTACCTGATACAGAATCATCTGGTGAATTACCTGATTCCATGCCCAGAGGGGTTACGGCCAAGCTAGTAGAGAGTAAAACTGAGGCAAAGCCTGCCAGTCAAACACTCGCAGAAGACACTGGATTCTTTAGCCCCTTTAAAAAGTAATTGAACTCACTCATATCAAACAATGCTCCTGACGATAAGCCAACTGAGGTCCCCTCAGTGTTTTCTATTTTTAAGCCAGCCGAGGCTCCAAAATCTGAGGATGTGTCTGGTACTTTTGGCAATAAATTAAAGCTCCCTTTCTTTTCCTCAGATGCTCCAGTCAATACTCAGGCGCCTAAACAAGAAGGTGGTATGCTGTCTGGATTTCTAAAACTGACAACAGGTGAAGATCCCAATACTCCTAGATCTGGCGGACCCCAAGCTGGGGCTAAATCACCACTGTCCAGTCGTTCTGCACTGCTTGAAAGTGTTTCCAAAGGAAATGCAGATACTGGCTGGGTTTCCAATCTATTCAAAGCCAGCTCAACTGAACCACCAAAGCCACAGACTGGAACACCAGCCTCATCAAAGCCTCATCAAACAGCAACTACACAAAATATTCCCACTGTTGCTGTGAGTCCTGAAAAATCAGGCAATGTCGAAGAAGCTTCTGCAGATATATTTGCAGAAAGAGATGCTGCAGCAAAATGTCATAATGAGTGCCTGTCTACTGAAAATCAAAGAGAGATTAAAATAATTACACTGGATACAGACCAAGTTCATAGAAATGAAAATGCATCTAAACTTCAAGATAGATCAAATACCAAGCCAGACGACCAATTCCATCCAAAGACTCAGGTGCAGCCAAAGACACAAAATGATTCACAGGCACAACCTCAGTTTCAGGGCTTGCTATCCAGTCTTTTATCTGGTAACAACAAGCCCCAGGCAGGTTCTGGTCAACCTCCACAGGGTGGATTACTCTCAGGGCTACTTTCCACTGTTACTGGCACCCAAAACCCAAGCCAGCTTCAACCAGGGGCTGCATCTGCTCAGTCAGGAGGGCTGTTGTCTGGAATATTGAAAATGGCTGCCTCTGAAAGTTTAACCACAAGCTGCCAATCAACAGGCCCACAACAGCAACAACCCTCCAATGAAGGAAACTCCATTCAAGAATCACCTGCAGTTGCTCAAAGCTACAGCCAACCACAGCAGAGCACTGGAATTTTCTCTGGGTTATTCAAATTGGCCAGTGATACAGTTTCAAACCCCCAAACAGCACCTGCCCAGTCAGCACCAAATCCTGTAAAACAGAATGTACCAAAGCAGCTAACATTGGAGACACACCCTCCAGTGAGCCCTCTCAAGGAGCTTCATCTCAGCCTCAGTCGGGAGTTTTCTTATCTGGACTTTTGAAGTTGGCCACCCCTGAGACTGTCCCAGCACCTGGCAAAGTATTCCAGCCTCAGCAGTAGCAACCATCACAACAGAACATTAATCAACAACCAAGTCAAAAACAATCAGACACAAAGAGCCAACCACCGCCATCTCAGCCGCCACCAACTGAACCACCTCCAAGTCAAACAGGAGGACTTTTTGGGGGACTCTTAAAACTAACAGATAGTGCTATTGCAGGGTCACAGCAGCCAAGTGGTTCTGGCAGTCAGCCTAATCAACAACAATCCAGCAAACCAAATGCACAGTCACAACCACCACCTGCTACAGCAAGTGGAATGTTTTCAGGATTTTTAAACAAGCTAACAGCACCAGAGAGTGCCCCTCAACAGCCACATCCTGGAAGTAGTAGCCTGGCCTCACAACAGAGCCCTAAACCCTCTGAACAACCACTACCTTCTCAGACAGGTGGCTTCCTTTCTGGCCTGTTTGGTCTGAGTGCATCAGATGTTAATAATGCCAAAGACCTAGCTTCCCAGAATCATCCACAGCAGGAGTACCCTTGTTCCAGGCAACCTAATGCACAGCAAAGTAACAAAACTTGCGAAGACAAAACCAAGTTCCACCTCAGCAGGCACCTCAAAGTGGACCAAGTGGAATGTTCTCTGGGTTGCTTACTAAGATCGCAGATACCACCACTGCACAACCCCAGTCACAAACCACACAGCAAACCAGTAGATCTGGTCCAAATGAAAGTGCCCCCCAGCAATCTTCTAGCCAACAGGGTGGATTCTTTTCTGGGCTTTTTTCAGCCAACCAGACACCAGCACAATCACAACAAGGATCTCCTGGATCCAGTCATCAGCAGCAGGGAAGCAGGCAGCCTTTACAAAGACAAAATCAGATTCCCTCTCTTATATCATCAACCCCTGACCCACCACAAGGAGGTCTGCTTTCAGGCCTTTTCAACAAACTTGCATCAGTAGATACTCCAGCTCAGTCATCGAAGTCTGTTTCTGGAGTTCAGCATAACCAACAAACAAGTAGGCCTGATGCATCAGGACAGAGTCAAATGTCTACCCAGCAGCCACCCACTTTAAGCCAATCGGGTGGACTTCTTTCCGGTCTTTTGAAGATGGGTTCAGAAGCTGCAGCTCCAAAATCACCTTCTGTAGGACAGCAGCCACATCCTGCCCCTGGAAGCCAGATGCAAGGTCCACAACGTAAAGGTCAGACTGTGTCACAAGGAGCAACACAACAGCAAAGTCAGTCTGGTGGTCTGTTTTCTAGCATTTTCAAAATGGCCACCTTGGATGAATCTGTGCAACAACTTGCCCAGTCAAGCAATCAGCCAGCAAATATATCTGTTCAAAGTGCCAACAATCAGCAAAATGAGTCTAGTGGCATCATATCTGGATTTTTGAGACAACTTACTACAACAGCTGAAGAACCAATAGCAACGAGTGAAGCTTCCCCTAATCAGAAACTAAAACAGCAGAAAAAAGACCGTTCTGGAATTAAACCTAGTCAAGGTCGCCCACAGATTCAGAGAGCCAAACCAGAGGAAGACACTTCATCTAAACTTCCTTCTCAAATCAAAGAACCACCCAAAAGTAGTTGTAATAGTGGTGCAGGTATTCTTTCTGGAATTTTTAAATCCGGAGCTAATAAAAATGACACTTCAACAAAAAGTAAGGACCTAGAGAAGGGCTTCCTTGATCGACTAATGTCTAAGCAGAGCAAAGACGAGTCCACTACTTCAGTTAGCACCGGGAGTTCAGAGTCTAACAAATTAGTGAGTGAAGCTTCTCAACAACCTGCTAACCTGCATCCTGCAGTGAAGTCCACCCAACAGTACATGGAGGAGATCCATAGACTCTTATATGGCACGTCTATTAATTATGGCTACCAAGATCTATTGTATACATTTGCTGTGCATGGTGTGATTCCCCCAGAACTGTATGAACATCATTGTCTCATAGAAGCTCTTCTTTGGCAGCAACTGAATGATTGTGCTCTATTGGAGACCCTAGCAACACAAATTCCAGACTGTTATTCTGTAAATCAAGTGGAAATGCCATTATCCTCTGAACCGGTTGTAGAGACACCTGAATGGTGGAACTTGAAAAACATGGATCCTAGTCAGTTCCATATACCCTCACATCCTTGGCAGGATGTTGTGAACCTGCCATTTCAAAGTAGTCTTCCACTAGCAAATGGAGACGATGTTATTGTATTTGACATGAGTAGCACAAACAAGAATCCCTGGGGAGGCTGTGACAATTTAAATGGTTTCGCTGATAAAAGAAGCAAAAAGACTTGGATGGAGAAAACCACTGCTATAAACCTCTCAACAGATGTACCAGCAAAAAAATATTTGTGCCAGTCAATATCAGACTTTAGACTAAATGGCAAAAATGCCTCAAAAATGACCCAAAAACCACATTTATATTTGAAAGATGACTCAAGATTCTTCAGACGACTCACTGAAAAAAAGGGGCCATTGGATTTGACTCCAGGTGCAGTTGATCTCAGTAGCACTGTAGCTGCCAGTGAAGATATAGAGGATGACATGTTCTTTGAAGATTCTGAGTGGTACCAGCAGTGGCTGTCCCTGTTAGAGCAGGGAATGTGGTGGCCGGCTGAGGCAGGAGATTGTGGCTATTACGTTTACATGGATGAAGAATATATATACACTCTTTTGATTGATAGGTCTGGGAAGCACCTTTATGCATGTGCAACCCCAGAGGAGAGCCGTGTTTTAGAACAAATCACTGAAAATATTTCAAATATTCTACATAAAAAAATCTAACCAAAGGTGACGCTCTGTGGTTTTAAAATACCTCTGTTCAATGAAGATGAAGTTCTGTGGATACCAGGAAAAAATCAGTGTGACTCGCAGCTCCTAAATGCACCTGTTGATTTTTCTTCAGCTCTTCAGAAAGGAGACAGGATTATGAACATGAATCTTGAGCGGTTCTCCCAAATGTTTCAGGACTCCATAAATGCACAGACAGAGAAACCTCTTGACTTCAGTGTGTACAAACAAGTATAATTTCTACAGAGGAGCAACTACAAGCAGCTGACTTCTCTAAGAAAGCAAAGAACCCATGTCATGGAGGACCATACTGGATAAATCAGGGTATTAAAGACATTTTTCCTGAAGTATCTTTACATCAGTTCTCTTCTCCAGTTACTTTTACTTCATCGGTGGGCTATAGACAGCATCCCTCAACTATGAAACCTTCAATTCCTGAAATCATGATTGGACATGTAGATAAGCCTGTTGACCAGAAAACTCAAAGTAAGCAAACTTTCAGTTCTGTTTTTTCACCAAATGAAAACTTTGTTGAAAGGACATCTACTGCACCACAAACAACTAAAAGCACAGCATCAGAAGGATCTACAATTACACCACAACTTCAGGCCACTTCTACAAAACCTTCTGATCTACTGAATGTCAATGGAAAGCCACCTACATCAACTAGGCCACTTCCTGTAAAACCAGCAAATTCAACAATACAGGATGGGTTTACACAGCAGAGTGCAACAACTACACCGCGAGTATTACCTACTCCACCAACCTCAGAACAAGTCACAAAAAGTATTGCTTCTAAGCCTTCTGCTGCATCTCAGAAACACAAACAGGCAAGACAGCCATCACAGACAACACAGTCTCCTTCATCAGAGAAAGCATCTAATTTTGATGGCTCTAAGACTGAAATAGTTCCCATGAAGCCAAAACCTTCCACAGTGATGTCAAATCAAAGACTATCATTGCCACC